CATTTAATCCATCTCAGTTAAAGGGAGAAGGGATTATTTAGCACTGGAGTTCTTGTCTACAATTTTTAAGAATCATTATTTATAGTTTTGGCAGCAGAAGATGGTTTTCTTTTCTTCTCTATCCTTCTCCTTTCATGTTTGGATCAAACCCAGTGCCTCATGCATGCTGATTATGTGCTGTTCCACTGAGCTAGACCCAGCTCAGAGGATGGCTTCTGCAAAGAAAAGGGAAAGATCTTTCTATGCCCAGACTTTTCCTTGGTTTTGACCAGTCTTCATATGTGAAGGTAGATAATTTAGACTTTGTTCATATGAACGTAAACTTACAGTATTCTACTCCACAGTGGCCACTGTTAGAGGCTGGTTGGTGGGGGGCAAACATTGAATGAGGATTGGATCTTCTATGACCAGAACCATCCATCTTTCCTTTCTTTCCCAGATACTCAAAGATGGTAAAGCTAATATTGATGATGGCTCAGCATTAAGGGCATTTGTTGCTCTTTCAGAGGACCCAGGTTTGGTTCTCAGTACCCTCATGGTGTCTCACAACCATCTGTAACTTGAGTTCCAAGGGATCCAGTGCCTTCTGACCTCTGTGGGAACCAGGCACCTATGTGACACATACATTCATGCAGGAAAAATGCTCAGGCACATAATTAAATCTAATAAAATAAGAAAACCTTATGGTGGCATTGCTGTGTCATCTTGTAGGGCACAGAAACTTTTCTTTCCACATGGGGAAGCTTTTATTAGCCAAGATGCTGCTCTTAGATCTAATAATTATCGTTGGAGAGTTTAGTGTATTTTAACTGTTGCCTTGATCGACTATCACCTTCATTTTTATTATTAGGTTAATTCCATGGCATACCAACTTTCAGATACACGAATATACTTCAGACTTAATCTTGTATCTAGCTTGATATTTGAGTAATATTGAGTTGATAGTTCAGTAATTTTGTTCAAATGTAAGACAGTTTTAATTCTAATGAGACAAGTGATTGATAAGTGGTGTCTTTTAGAATGTTTCAGAACTAGAGAACCAGGCTAGAGGTGTAATTTTCTGGTGAAACCCCCTTCCCCTGCAAGAGATTTATTACTTTTAAAGTAGTTTACACATGTCACTTCCATTAATTCTCATGATAACTGTGTAAAAGCTGTCTCCATCTTGGAGCAGGGAAAACTAGAATTACTGTCAGAAGGTTGATTTTAGTCTTTTCCATAATACTGGTGTGCTTTCTCCCAAATTCATATACATGTATTTATTCTGGAATAAAAAACAAAAAAAACCCTATAGTTTATGTAGTTATTTTCTAGTCACAGTTTTATCTGAAGAGTAATGTGAATAGCCTGCTTCAGTCAGGGACAATAGGTGCATGTGTATCTGTGTGGTACACGCATTTTTAAGTATTTATGGGGTGTAAGAGTGTAATTGTAGCTCTGTATAGTAACAGTGATTGTATATTTCAACCTGAGATTTCATTCCCATACAAATGAGCTCTGTGAGATTATTATGCCAAAAATACCAATATTTGTCTTTCACTCAATTTATCTACACTTCATAAAAGTCCTTAAATATTACTTCATTATCTTAAAATTTGCTTTGCAGTGTATGAAGTCTGCGGAATGAATTTTTAATATTTATGAAGTAGTTCTGATTTTTGCAGGTGTTGTAGACTCTTAGGAATATAGAGCTTAATTTAGAACATAATCCTCTTTTCTGCATTTTTCATTTTTAAAACCACATTACAGTAAATCTATCTGTGTGATCCAGCTATACTGACATTGTTTTTTATATCTTTCTATAGTGTTTTGGTTAGGCAGGAAAGTTCTAGTTTATAGTATCCCAGTTATAATGCAAGGATAGCTACTGCAGATAATACTTGTGTGTTGCTGTATTTATGTCATGCTTCCCCCTGTAAAATTCTTATCCTATAGAATGCTTAGGTCAGATCAGCACTGCAGTTTATTTAAAACAAATAAACACAACAAAATGCAAACAACTAATAAATACCCTTATAAAATAGATTTTAAGGCCTGAGAGTTTAGCTATATAGTAGAATATGGCCTTATATGATGAAAAAATTAGTAATCTTCTGTCCTAGGGAGGGTGAGGATTAAGAGAAATTTTAAGCACTCTTGCCAGGCTCACGAATGTGCACGTGCACACATACACACAAACACAGACACGTGATAAGTGTGGATGTAATCCATATGTTAATTATCTAGATTCTACCATACATGTTACAACATATATTTGTGTTAAAACATCATGCTGTATACTGTAAATATAGGTTTTTGTCACTTGTAAGAAGAGGGAAAGAACCTATCCTCAAATGTTAGAGTGCAATAGGAGAGCTATAATTTGCTTATTCATCAGAAGTTGTCTTTATCAAGCTGTCAAAGCCTTACTTTATGTTGTATCTGGTCTGAGAACCAACAAAGTATGTATAGATTTCCAGATCTGTACAACAATGGCACACAGTGCTGCTATATATCCCTCAAAAAATAGTATTGTCAAGGCAATCTCAAAATAAAAGGAGTATTCTTTCTTGATTTTATGTCAACTTAACTGTTAAGGAAAGTTGAGTCTATTCATTTGTGTAAGAGTTGTCTGTTTTAAAAAATAACCCAAAGTACTTATGTCAGATTAGTACTTGAGTACACTTGGTAGTATGCCTGTGTTAGCATGTAAGTGGTGATATGCTGCCAGCGGGGTAAACAGGATAGAATACACATCTTATTGTAGTAGTGTGTTACCTTCAGCTAGTTTAAGTTTCTCCTTCACCAGTCTTGTGCCTGTATATTTTAGTTCAGCTGTTGATAGCCCCATGGAATGCTTGTTTTTGAAAGTAGGGTTTGTGGACCAGTGTCAGTGTTACCTACCTGACAGTCTTGGCTAGTTCCTGGGTTACTTCATAGGAATCTTCACTTCAGCAGATTCTCTTACTGACTTGTGTGTGTATTAAAGCTGGAGAAGCCCCACTGTAGAACACAAAAGACTTGTAATTTGGACACTTTTGTCACTGAAGTTACAAAGTTAAAGCAATTTAGAGATGGTTTATAAGAACACTAAACATGTTCACCTTAAAAGCTGCCTTTATGGTTTTGGCTGATGATAGCCCCATGGAATGCTACCAGACCTTGTTTTTAAGTGCATTTTGGTTTATTTTTGTACTTTGATTCTCAATCTTACTGAACAAAGAAGATAAATGGTGCAAAGAAACAAAACCATTGCTGTTAAATCTAGTTAGACATGACAGCCCTGGCATCACATAAAATCAGCTCTTCAGAAAAGGAGAAAGACCTGCTCAGACACTGGGTACACAGACTGTATAATCACCACTGGGCTTTTATGCACACGAGGAATGCAGATATACTTAAAGCATAAGTAGATGCTCAGTGAATGGATAAACAAGGACTAGAGCCCTACTCAGGAAGTTGATGGTCAAGCCTGAAACTTTCCTTGAAAGTTATGCTCCTGCCTGTGAGCACAACTATATTATTCTGGGATGTGACCAGGTGATTCTCTTGGCTGCCTTTCCTTCAAGTGTGGCTACGTGTGTGACTAGATGTATTATACTTGCTTCATCCCCAAGAACCTCTTCTGCCAATGTCAGAATTGTCAGCCATTTGTTTCATTACACTTGAGAGTGTTAGGACTCTGAGTAATAAGTAGAAACATGTAACTGCTTCCTATTACCATATTTAAATAAAAATTTTGTGACACATTTTACCTCTCACCTCCCAATTTAATTTAGAAAAGAAAGTTTTTGTTTGAGTTTTATTTCTGGTATTTGAAAGCGTCCTTCAGCTACTTAGGTGAAATGGCTGCAGGAACTCATGGATATTGTTGTGATGCCTTTATGTGTCACTTTATCTCTTAGTGCACCGAGGGTACAAATGAAGTTTTGCTCAATAGTCTGAGTGTCAAGCCACAGTGGTTGGGTAGCTAGCTACTCTTGTGAACCTGGGGTTGTGCTTGGTACTTTCATTCATGCCAGGGGTTTGGCATACAGTTTGATAACCTTGCCGTAGCCTAAGAATACTACCATGACAGCTATTGACCTAACAATGAACACTAACTTTCCTTTTTAATATATGGTAGGGGAATTTTCTCCATGCCTCCTTTGATTCTGTTCTTATCTAGTACTTTGTCCTTTTGCAATGGGTGACCGGGAAACCTTTGTGGTAGGAGACAGTTGCTATTAATTACTAAATTTTAAATGCCTTAAACATGTGGGACTGGTGAGAAGGCACAGAGACACAAAGATGCCTTCTAATAACACACAGTTTTCTATCACCAGTTGCCAAGCATATTAATAATAGCAGAAAAGGGATCATGTCATACTGTTTCTCTTATGGGCTTGATGGGAAAATGATAATGTTGTGCCTGAGTCGTTTAGCTTAATGATGGCTTAATGGCAAATGCCATTCTCCCTTTTTGAATGCATTATTCATTCTTGGAAGTCTGTATGTAATCTATCTTAAAAACATGAATGGTAGCATTTATTGGCTCATTTAGATCGCAGGTCTTTTCACCCACAAATTCTCATTTATTTAATTATTGAGATTAAGAGGAAAACAATAAAATAATAAAGAAATGAATTATAACTGTTGCACTTAAGGATTAATTCAGATATTTTTCATGTTGTGATTACACTGTGCCCTATGTGTAGTCATGTCTAGATTCCTCACAGGAGGCCTGGTGAATATCATGCCTGCTGGGCTGTCATATCTAGGTGTCTTGTGCCAGGCCTGGTGAACACTGTACCTGCTGGGCTGTCATGTCTAGGTGTCTTATGCCAGGCCTGGTAAACACTGTGCTCACTGGGCTGTCATGTCTAGGTGTCTTATGCCAGGCCTGGTAAACACTGTGCTCACTGGGCTGTCGTGTCTAGGTGTCTTATGCCAGGCCTGGTGAACACTGTGCTCATTGGGCTGTCATGTCTAGGTGTCTTGTGCCAGGCTTGGTGGAGACTCATGTCTCTTTTGTTCCACAGGAAAACGACTCAGGCACTTTGGACACAGTGGGTGCTGTGGTCGTCGATCATGAAGGGAATGTTGCTGCTGCTGTCTCCAGTGGAGGTTTGGCCTTGAAACATCCAGGGAGAGTTGGGCAGGTAAGGATTTGTGGATTACTTAATCTCCTTTTCAAAATGAAATCAGGTCTTGTCTAAGCACAACCATTAAACAACTAGGGATGGTTTTTCCTTAAGAAAAATAAAAATCCTTGTTCTTGAACATTTGCTTCTTATAGATCAAGAACAAAATTCTTTTTCATTCTTACTTCTTTAAAGAGCCATCTCATGGTGACAGGGCCGATTTTTATAACCAGTAACCCCAGCTTCCCTGCTCTCAGCAGCCTGAGTGTCACAGGCCTTTGTAGTAGATATTTAATAATTGTATATTGATGTACATCTTCCTTAGTAAATATAACTCTGTAGGAGCAAACACTCCCTGACTATATTGCCCATTGCTTTAAGTATGAACATTGTTTTAGAGTAACACTTTTTATTCCCTTCACTCAAGTCACAGTGGCATTTTGGCATTCTATGTCTCTCCTCTGATTTTAGACATTTTACAGAGTAGATACTATTTTTGGTCACCCTGTATCTCAGCCAAGTATCTAGTAAATGAAGAGACTCTAATTTATGTGAAGTTTTCTTATTCTGAGTTCTCTTGCAGAGCTTTTTTTCAACATGCCTTCCCCACCTTCAATCTTTAATTCTGTCCTGAAAATGAAATCTAAGAATGAATTTGATATGCCAAGGGTGGTGGGTATTATGACCTGATTTTACACAGTTCTTATGATCTTAGTAAATATTTGTGAATCAAGATACTCCTCTGTAGTTTTTTAAAGAGGTTCAGAAGATTTTATTTAAAACTCCATGTTTGGCTCTTGTCTTCCATGTGAAATGAAGCTCACTGTGTTGTATGTCCCTAACATTTGGAGAACAGTCAATGTCACTGTTAGTTCGGTCATGGTTGCTAGTGATTGCTTGGAGCAGACTGACTTGTGGAAGATATCGTTGCAAAGCTCCCAGTGATAGTCCCCAGTCAACCCTTAATGTGGATAGACTTCTACACTATAGTTCTATACTAGTAGGGTGTGAGTGGTAACAGTAACTGATTTTGTGTTCCTTTTTGCCTACCATGTAGAAAATTTATGGAGAGTGATTACTTAACCATATGTATAGTGCTTTGAATGCATTATAAAAGCCTTTGTTCACTTAAATTTTTCCGTATTATGGAACTGTATATTTGTCAAGTTTGGAGTAAGAAAATCAAACTTTCTAAATCAGGTTTGGATGTCCTGGTAGAGAAGATACATAAAGCCAACAGAGTTGCCTCCATTACTTTTGTAATCTCTTGACTTTCTCGTTTTTTATTTGTTTTGGGTAGTAAAGTAATAGCAGCACATTAACAAGGTGCTGCAGCCAGAAGTCTTGAAGCCATTCTGTCACCACAAATGGGACTTCTGTGAAATTTATGCATTGATTTGCTCTACTTGACTTGTTTAGAAAAAAACCATTGTGAGAGCTAAAAAGTCATCAAAACATGTGGAGTAAAGGAGTCAAAATGCTTAGAGGAAAATACAGTTGCTTGGTTGTATGAAGTTGCTGGGTCCAGGAGATATCATGAACCTGGAGATATGAAGCATCAAATGAGAGATAAAACTATGGAGCATAAAAGCATGTTCTTTCAAAGGCTAAGTAAAAACAAGCAGAAATGAGATACATTTCAATGTATTGTAAATACTCAAATGAATGATTTTTTTTAAATTAGCATACCTGCTATAGATATTTAATAGGAGCACAGATTGTAAAATTTAATTTAAACTGGGTTTACTTGTTTTAGTATGTAACCATTACAGTTTACAGCTGGGATTGAAGAAAGAAATTAATAGACTTTACTAGTTGTAGTTGGAGTTTTCTCCAGTCCTGCCCAGCCCCATGGACCCCGCAACCACTTATAAAATAATCACCCAGAAGCTTATATTAATTAAACTGCTTGGCCATTAGCTCAGGCCTACCACTGACTAGCTCTTACACTTAAACTCAGCCCATTTCTGTTAATCTGTATGTCACCACGTGTTCCGTGGCTTTACCTGTTGCCTTTACATGCTGCTCCCTGGACGGCAGGCTGGTGTCTCCTTACTCAGCCTTCTTCTACCAGGCATTCCCTACTCTCCTTGTCCCACCTACTCTATCCTTCCTGCCTGGCTACTGGCCAATCAGCATTTTATTTATCAATCAATCATAGCAACATATATTCACAGCATACAGGACATCCCACAGCACTTCCTGTTTTCTGTTAGCAAATTCTGAAGATGAAATGCTATAGTGCTTACCAAGTTCTAGAAGATTGACATAACACATTTAAATTGCACATCATACTTCCTAGAAATGAACTATAGCTGTCATTGGTTATATACTTGCAGTTTTCAACGCATGCATTCATTCACATGATCCCTTGACAACAATATGAAGGAAGTGTTTTTATTATTCTTTGTTGTTTTGTGGCATGAGGTATTGAACTCAGGGCCTGTGTATTCTAGGCAAGCACTCAGAGCTGCACTCTTTGCCATCACTTTTGTCTTTTCTGAGACAGCCTTACTAAGTTGCCTTGGCTGACCTTGAACTTGCTCTGTATTCCAGGCTTGCCTTGCACTTGTGATCCTCCTGCCCAAGCTGCCAAGCAGCTGGGATTATAGGTCTTCCACAACAATTGCTTGCCACATTATTATGCTCATTTTATAGGAAACAATAGTCCTGAGACAGTTAAGTAATATATCATTTATATAAGCTGCTATTTTTATTATATATAACAGCTTTAAAACAGTTTTACTTCCAAAAACGTAGAAAGCCTTTAAACATTTTAAAAAGGTATACATTTTACTCACAGAAGTGAATAATAGGGGTTCAAACTCTATAATATTATTACTGTATTTTTGTTACTATCTCATCCTAACTAATTTCAGAAGGTTAAGAAGTAAGACAGCCTGAGGCCATGGAATTAAGAGTAGATATTATAAAAGGAATTTTTGTAAAGGAAAAAAAAAAAGGGAGCAATACTGTGCATCCTTTCTTAGGAAGGTGTCTTCCCCAGGCTTTCTGAGAGGTTCCCCTCCTCCTCCTCCCCTTCCCCCTTCCCCTCCTCCCCCTTCCTTTTCCTCTTCCACCTTTCCCTTTCCCTTCCTTTTCCTCCTCCTTCCCCTTCCTCTTCCTCCCCCCCCCCCCCCAATTTGGTGCAGAGCTGTTTGCAGTTCCTACTGAGCCCCAAGGGAGGCAGGGAGACTGCCTGAAGCAGAAGTCCTCAGAGCCTGGGAGCATCTCCAAGGCCTGGATAGTGTTGTCCACTCCCAGGGCTTCACCAGATGCTGAGTCAGATGCTCCAGAAACCAGAGTTTTTATCCGTAAATTCCTCAGAAAATTCAGCCTTTCTCTAGTTTGAGAACCCTTATTTTTAATCTTTTTTTCCTATTTTATTGAGAATAGATGTTTTTCTCACATAATGTATCCTGATCTTGTGAGAATAACATATAATGCCTATACATATTTTTGAGGCATAATATGGTTTGATTTATGTCCATGTCGATTTATGTGATCTATGTCCATGTTTGATTTATGTCCATGTTGATTATGTTTCCGTCTATTCCTCCCAGTTCCTCCCCACCTTCCCTCCCATCAGGATCCACTTCCTTTCTATCTCTCATTAGAAAGCAAACAGGCACCGGGTGTTGGTGGCGCACGCCTTTAATCCCAGCACTTGGGAGGCAGAGCCAGGCGGATCTCTGTGAGTTCGAGGCCAGCCTGGGCTACCAAGTGAGTTCCAGGAAAGGCGCAAAGCTACACAGAGAAACCCTGTCTTGAAAAACCAAAAAAAAAAGAAAAAAAGAAAGCAAACAGGCTTCTAAGGGATAATAATAATTTAAAATATAATAAAACAAAAGCTAATACATTGGAATTGAACAAAACTAACAGAGGGAAGAGAGCCCAAGGAAGGCAAAAGAAACAGAGACTCACTTGTTCACACATTCAGGAATCACATAAACACACTAAACTGGAAGCTATGTCAAATAATCAGAGGACCTGGTGCAGACCTGTGCAGGCCCTGTGTATACTGCCTCAGTCTCTGAGTTCATGTGTGTTTTAACATTGTCGATTTAGAGGACCTTGTTCTCCTGGTCCTCCATCCCCTCTGGCTCTTACACTGGTGTTGCCTCTTCTGCAGGGAGGGTTCCCTGAGCTCAGAGGAGAGGGATTTGATGAGGCCATCCCATTTAGGACTGAGTTGAGGGCCCTTATTTTTAAGGTTCCACATTGATTTCAAGAGTCAGCAGAGCGACTGGCTGACAAACTATGAAAGGGAAAGGTTTTTAGGGATTGGAAAAATTGCTGATGGGACTAAAACAACTTCCTTGTGCTGTTTTCTAAGAACTTTTAGATTATTAGAATAGCAGAGCGCACTTGCTAGTACCTTGCATTTGTATGTGTGTTGTGTGTGTATGTGTCTGCATGTGTGTGGGTACATGGTGAGCATGTATGTATTTGTATAGGCTTGAAATTGATGTTGAAATTTTTCCTTGATTAGCCTCCACTTTATTTACAGAGGAAGGGTCACTCACTGAACTTGGGGCTTTGGGTTCTAGCTGGCCAAGCTAGCCAACTTGCTCCAGGGATCTCATATCTCTAATTCTGGGATTACAGGTGACTGCCATGCCTGCCCGGCTTTCTGTGTAGGTTTGGGGATCCAAATTCTGGTCCTTATAATTTCATGACAAGTGCTTTATACATTGATCCAGGTCTCAGGCTCTATTAATTTTTGAATGACATATAATGCCTATACATATTTTTGAGGCATAATATGGTTTGATTTATGTCCATGTTGATTTATTAATGTTACCAGCTACTGGGGAAAGCAGAGTGGGGGACAGGGAAAGGTTAGTCAAAGATACAGTTAGGTAGGAAGAATAAATCTGGTGTCCCCATCATAGCAGAGTGAGAGTATGGTTAACAGTAATGCATTGCATATCTACAAACGGAAGAGATAGCCTTGAGAGTTTGAAAAACATTGCATGGTTTTTATGTAACTTCTGCTGTTATGAACAAGTTTTTACTTTATTTTCCCTGTGTGTGCATGCAAGTATGCATGTGTGTGCACAAGAAGACAACTCCTGCTGTGGTTCTTCAGTTATCCCCTTGTTTTCAGTCCACCCTGTTTTCTTGAGGTGGGGTCTCTCTTATTTTCATTTTTAATTATCATACAGGTTAATTAAATAGGTTTCATTAGGACACTTTATACATAGTTTGTTTTGTTTTCTATTTTGTATATTGTTAATAAACTGAGTTTTTTGATGGATATGACTTTTATCTCATATTGAAAACAGTGAGTATTATGAGTATGTGTCTGTTTTCTGTTTTCCTAGGCTGCTCTTTATGGATGTGGCTGCTGGGCTGAAAATACTGGAGCTCATAACCCCTACTCCACAGCTGTGAGTACTTCAGGTATTTGCTGCTTTCATGGCCATTTTTCATAGCTACAATCTGTCAGTCATTTAATAATTAAACATTTAAAATTTTATTTATTTATGAGAATTAGGGGAAACATTTATGAGAGTGTTGATGCATGTAAAACATCATTAATTTTGGGAGGTTTTAAAGATTGTTTAGTTTCCAATTATAAACGCTTTGTAAACTTTATCAGTAAAACTCTGATATTAAGTATCATTTAATTCTATTTTATTTATCTAATGACCCATGATAGTTACATTCACATCACAAGTGATATCAAAGCAGTGAGGCATTTCAGAAATTTTCAGGTAATCTCTTGAGTCAAATGTTGACATAAGACGCACATCATGTGCTTCAGAATGTATAGCCTATGGCATTTCCTCATACTATCCTTTTAGTAAAATACAGAACTGTCTTTGTGTGCATATTAAGAAAGTTTATAATTTAGTATTGATTGAAATAGAATGATCATGTGTGATGTGGTATGTGTATGAGCATGCACATGTATGTGTGTTGATGTGTCCCTGTGCTATAAGGATGGGAAATAGGGGTAGGGAAATTTAATGGGTAGAATAATAATCTATTTTCAGCTTTTTATAATACTGATACCACATATACTTGAAGCTTTTTCTCTTTATGTGGTGATACTACTGGTAGACAAGGTCAGTGATAGTTTACTCCTTCCTCATGTATCCCTCAAGTTCTTTTTCCAAACAGCCTCAGGCCTTATCACATCTGTGCAGTACAGATATATCTTCCTTTCTTTTCTTCACCCTTTCAGTTTCTGACCACATTGGTTTTTGTTGTCTAGTACAGTAGCTCGCCTATGCTTCCTGCTACTCACCCTGTGATCTACTGTAATATACAGTGCATTAGTAAATTATCATATGTTGTTTGAACTCACCGACACGCTGTTTCTCTAGGCTGGCCTTTCCCCACTTCAAACTCTAGTGTGTTTACCTTAGAGTATCCTCCAAGATCCCTTGACCTGGAATGGGCTGGTCTCCTGGGCCTGTGAGAAAGTGAATGGAGAATGGTAGAACTGCCCAGAATTAAGATACCAAGATGACAAAAAGATTAAATTGCTAGAGTAAAAATGAAAACCTGTGTCCTAGAACATAGCTGGGAGATAATAGTTTCCAAGTACCTTCTCCAAACAAAAGATCCAACTACAGTTTATTCTATGCCGTTGAAGACCCAGGAGGGGCCAACACAGGAGGTGCTCTGCCTGAGAGCTTCTCTACCCACACATGATCCGGCTGACATCTGCCCTGTAGGTGGATTTGTCTTTGGATCACGAGCTCACCAAAAAATGACTTGGAGACTTATTATTAGTTATGAAAGCTCAGCCTTAGCTTAGGCTTGTTCTTAACTAGTTCTTATAACTTAAATTAACCCATATCTTTTTAATCTATGATCTTTTATGTGGCTCAGTTACCTTGACTCTGTACTCCACATTCTGCTTCTTCTCTATCTGGCTGGCAACTCCACCTTTTTTCCTCTTTGAGTCCTTTCTGTCCCCAGGAGTTCCACCTTCCTGCCTAGCTACTGGCCATTCAGCTCTTTATTAAAGCAGTCACACTGACACACACATCTTCACACAGTGTAAAGGGATATTCCACAACATGCCCACTGACTGGTATGGTTTCCTCCATTTGCCCTAGTCCATTTCTGCTGGATGCTCAGTGCCTGATCAGGTGCTCCACTATCTTTCAGCTGCTTGTGGTCTTCTTTTTGTCTTTCATGTTTGCCACACACTTAACAGTTCTTCAAAACAGAAAGCATGGCTATTGTGGACATTTTCTGTACAGAACATCTACAATACAGACATTGCCCATTATAGCGTAGAACTTGGCGCTCTCTTGATTTTTTCTTTTATTTCCCCTTTGTCTCTGGCCTGCTTCATTTCAGGTACCTTTATAGGATTTTCTTCCTCTTGAAAACAGTTGTGGGGTTTGGTTATCTTCATTTCCCTATATGTTTTCTCTTGCTGATTTGGTGTCCTTGCTATCTTCCTGATTTCAACTGTTTTCTTTTTGCCTATTAACTTCTACATCTGTGTCTGCTATGGGTTTTCTCTGGAAGTCTACATACATCCTTTCTGTCTTCCTGTTAAGTATTCTCCTGTGAGTTTTATGTATGTATTTTTTTCCTATGACTACCTTTCTCCAGTGGTTTTCTTCTTAAAAATATTTCAAAATTACATTAATATTATTGTGTATATGGGGGCCATATCTGTGTGTCACAGTGCATGTGTGGAGATCAGAGGACAGCCCATAGAAGTCAGTTCTTTCTTCCCACCATAGTTTCCCAAGGATCAGACTCAGCTTGACAGGCTTAGCTATAAGTGTCTTTACCTGCTGAATCATCTCACTGACTCTCTTAGCTGTTTTCTTGCCCTCACTATCCTCCTCTTTTGGATATTAAAAATTTTAGATATTGGCACTATTCTGTAGCTAGAGTTTTCCTGCCTGGCCCACAGTCAGGACAAATCTCTCTCACCCGCAAGACCCACAGCCACTCAGACCCGACCAAGTAAACACAGAGACTTATATTGGTTACAAACTGTATGGCCGTGGCAGGCTTCTTGCTAACTGTTCTTACAGCTTAAATTAATCCATTTCTATTAATCTATATCTTTCCATGTGGCTTGTGGCTTACCGGTACTTTACATCTTCCTTGTCCTGATGGCGGCTGGCAGTGTCTCTCCCACCCAGCTTCCTGTTCTCTCAATTCTCCTCTCTGTTAGTCCCGCCTATACTTCCTGCCTGGCCACTGCCAATCAGTGATTTATTCATTGACCAATCAGCAACACATTTGACATACAGACCATCCCACAGCACTATTCTATTTCATTGCTTCTTTCCATTTTTACTGACCTGTCTTTGTTTTTCAGACTTGTGTTTTCTAACCTGCCATGTGTGGCTTCCATTCTATCTATCTCCTTTCTTTGTATCAGAAAATATGATTGTGAGTCATGAGGCTATTTGATATACAAATCAATAATCAATTGAAAGCATACCAATATAACTGTAAAAATGCTTTTCATCCTTTATTTTGAACAGAAGAACAAAATACAGTAATGCATTAATTTTCAGTTTAATCTTGATGGAACATAAAAATCTTGCCACACAATGTCAGAAATTAGCTAATGTATGTAGTCCTGTGTCTTTAAAGAAAAATTATATGAACAAACTGAAGTATGAAGCATTGCTTCATTTGTATTTTTTCACAAAACTGTCAGTATTATGTATTGTGCTTGTGTTGGTTTTAGCAAATGTCTTCACTGAGTTAGTTAATTGTTTTGGTATTATCCTCAAATCTTGATATTTGGAACTGTCTTGAGAGTCTGCCTAACTGTGTCATTTTGTGAAAGAGATTCAATCTCTTTGAGATTACCTATTCACCAACAAAACCCAGTTTTTAAGAACTGGTGATGTGGCAACTAGAATAAGAACCTACTTTATAAATTTGATCCTGTTAAGTAGAATGCAATGGCAAGAAAAGCTAGAATTGCACCATTAAGGTCTTTACAAGCTCCCTTTCCCTCTCTGTTCCCCATTTTGTCTCTCCTGCATCAGTTGTTTCCAGTTCATGGTACCCAGAATTGCATTTGAACGTGGATATGAGACATGTCATGTTGCACCTTCCAAAGTTAAAGGATGAAATGCTTGAACTGGAGGATGATAGAACAGATGCCGTGCTCCTCCTTTGTGTAGGACTGTGTTGGCTCTTTCTTGTTTTCCTTGGGACTGTTGTTGTGAGGTTGATGATGGAAATGCATGGCAGAGTTGGAGTATCCAAGTCATAGGAAAGGTGGAACACAGAATTTTGTGATTGTCCAGAATAAGAAAAGACTTGTGCCTTGAGCAGTTGTAGAAAATCCAGAGACCTGGCTAGTGTTTTGGTTTATATATCTTGGAAGGTGATAATTGAAAAGCAGAGAAAAGACAGTTGTGGTCAGGATAGGGCTCTCCCAAGGCCAGATAAGCAATTTGGTCATTAGCTCGAGGAATAAACTTCAGCATCTTGTTCTCATCATTGGGTAGGGAGGAATGAGTAGGGGTGTGTATGGGACAGGAACTGCTCTTGTAAACACTGACAAATGTTTTGGAGTCATAGGACTATTCAACACTAGGAGTGAAGAAGAGCAGTCACCTTGCTTCTTGTCCACACTTGGTAGTTGTAGTTGCTAGTTGTTAGTAACACAACAGGAATAACTGGCCATCGCTGTTGACATAGAGGTCCTCAGTGCACATCTTTCACTATTAAGTTCCATTTATTATATGTCACATCTTTTATAAAATAGACAATATTTAATACTAGTAAGGGAAACAAAAATATTACCAATAGAAGAATGATGAAGCATTTTCATTTCACTTAACACATGGTTGTTGCTTTATGAGAAAATAAGGAACTGAGGATGTTCCTTCAGTGATAAGTGTTTGCTTTACTGGCAATAAACCCACTTCCCATTCTGTGCCTAACATTTAGTCATTTTAAATTTCAGTCCCAATCCTTTGAACACAATGTAAGCAGCAAGCAAAATGAACACACCTAGTTTTCATGTGGCGCACAACAGACAGACCACCAAACAGAACAGCTTGCATTGGGAAACAGTGACAGCCCTATCACTCCCATAGCTTATTGGACAGCGTCATACCTTCTTATTCTCGAGCATTCCTCTCATTTCTCCTACTCCCCTTCTTTTGAGACCAAGTTTTGAGTGGCCAAAGCTGGCTTTGAAATTTCATCTGCTGCCCCTACTCTTGAGTGCTGAAGATTACAGATGTGACTTCTTATGTCTAATCAGAATTTTTAAATATGAAAAAGGCATATTTTAGAATTAGTAAATTATTAAAAGTTTTTCTTATTGTCATTTTTAAAAATGAAAATAAGTAACTTGTAACTTTTTTTTTTGTTTGTTTGTTTGTTTTTCGAGACAGGGTTTCTCTGTGTAGCTTTGCGCCTTTTTGGATCTTGCTCTGTAGCCC